TCTCCTGACCTCGTGATCCGCCCGTCTGGGCCTCCCAAAGTGCTGGGATTACGGGCTTGAGCCACCGCGCCTGGCAAAGTTTCATTCTTGTCGCCTGGGCTGGAGTGCAATGACATGATCTTGGCCCACTGCAACCTCCGCCTCCTGGGTTGAAACGATTCTCCTGCCTCAGCCTCCCAAGTAGCTGGGATTACAGACAACTGCCACCACCCCCAGCTAATTTTTGTATATTTAGTAGAGATGGGGTTTCACCATGTTGACCAGGCTGGTCTGGAACTTCTGACCTCAGGTGATCCAGCTGCCTTGGCCTCCCAAAGTGCTGGGATTACAGGTGTGAGCCACCGCACCCGGCGGCTTTAATTATTTAAAAACATAAATTAAAAATCTGATGTCTGTTGTGAGATATTTTATAAGCTAAAAATTTGGGGTTACTACTGTCACCTTCCCCCTATTTTTCTTCTTTCCTATTGATTCACTCTCAGCCTGCAGTCTTTATATTCAGAGTCAGCATGAGAAAGAACAAGGGTAAAGTCTACAGTTACCTTTGCTGTTGTCATGTACCATGTATGAGCAAGTGTTCTGCTGTTTCCTTCAAGTGCTTGTTTTTGTAGAGTAATTTGAGTAAACTGAATTGATTTTCCCCAACAGACTTACCCCGAATAGATTTCAGTAGTATAGCTGTGCCTGGCACATCAAGTCCCCGGCAGCGCCAGCCACCAGGAACACAGCAGTCCCACTCATCTCCTGGAGAAATAACTTCATCTCCTCAGGGCTTGGACAATCCAGCCTTGCTCCGAGGTATGTTGCTGGCCAACCCGCATGAGCTGTCCTTGCTGAAGGAACGCAATCCACCCCTGGCAGAAGCTCTGCTCAGTGGAGACCTTGGTAAGCTTATAAATTTGGAGGGCTGTTAGGCTGGCCTGAGGTGAAGAAGCTGTGTCATAGCAAATGTGAAGAGACTCAAGCAACACTGTGTCAAATGATTTATTGAACATACCAGTTTTTTCTCTGTGAGAGGTAGATTAGTGCTAAAGTCAAAGGCTGAGTTAATTGGAATCAGCATTAGAGTTTTCGGAGTGAAATCCATCTAGGCCACCCCCCTCGGTTTACTTTTTGTTTTCCTCATTGTTTTGGCAGCGCATAACCTAGGTACTGATTTTTTTTTTTTTTTTTTTTTTTTTAATT